TTATGAATTCTGCTCAGCATACTGTAGAAGTCAAATAAAGTCAGGAAACTGTGGAATTATTTGGGGAAAGGAGGAATCTTCAGGGCCACCAACTGGATCTAAAATAATCCTTATAAATTCTGCTCAGCATACTGTAGAAGCCAAAGTCAGGAAACTGTGGAATTATTTGGGGAAAGGAGGAATCTTCAGGGCCACCATATGGAAAAACAACCAAATGCCCTGTAGTTTCAGGTTGTTTGCTCTTTGGGGAAGAGAAGAACACTGTAGATGTATATGAAAAATGCAGCTACCCAAGAATGAAGATGTTGAAAAGTCTAGCTTTGATGAGAAAAAACAGCCTGACCAAGAAATTCTACTGGGACACTGCTTCATAGCTGAGCTAGATGGAGATTCTCAGACTGGCTGGAAGGGACAGATTTATGAGACAGCAGAGCTCTTTCCACTTCCAAAATGCCAGTGGGAAACATATATTCTAGGCTAAATACAACCAACTTTTTGACAGCTTTAATCTTACCAGAACACTCCCTCAATCATGTCTTGGAGCAGCATTTCACAATTCTGCCTCACTGGGAAGAATTTCCATGCACTCATTGCAATGTTTACTGCTTTGCAGCCACTGACACGAGCAGGCAGCCTGCAGCCAGCCCCACAGAGAGTGAGGAGGCTGCTGAACCGGTCTGCAGCTGCGTGCCTGTCCAGGGCTGTCACAGGGGGCTGTGTCCCTGGGGAGCCACACTGCCTCACCTCTGACTGAGCAGCACCCCAAGGAATGTGTGGTTTCATGATCTCAAGCCAGTGTTAAGGCTTGGAAGGGATCTTGAAGATTACCTGGTCCCAGTCTCCCTGCCACTAGATCAGTTTGCTCAGGGCATTATCCAAGCCAGCTTTGAACACTGCCCAGGCTGGGGCACCCACAGCTCATCTGGGCAACCCATTCCAGGGCCTCACCACCCTCAGAGTAAAGAATTGCTTCCTAATGTCTGGCCTAAACTTCCCTTCTTTCAGCTTGAGCCCACTACTGCTTGTCCTAGCACTGCAGCTCCCTCTGTGCCTTCCCTGCAGGTCCTGTTCAGACACTGGGAGGTTGCAATGAGGTCTCCACACAACTCTGTCTTCTCCAGGCTGAACAGCCCCAACGTTCTCAGCCTATCTTCATAGAGGAGTGCTTCATTCCTCTTACCAACTTCCTCTGGACTTGCTCCAACAGCTCCATAGCCTTCTTACACTGGGGACCCCAGAGTGGATGCAGCACTGCAGGTGAGGTCACACCAGAGTGGAACACAGACAGAACCACCTCCCCTGACCTTCTGCCCACGCTGCTTTGGGTGCAGCCCAGGATTCAAGGAGAAATCTCCTTTAAACTGGCATGACCCCAACACCTCAGAGGACCTTCCTGACTGAAGCATCAGGAGTCAGCTCCAAACTCAACACAAGATGGAGCACATTCTTCGAGTGTGATTTTCCTATTAATCACCAGACCCAAACCAACTCCTCTGATCCGTATACTTCGATCCTTTACTGGGCCCCGGGTTTCTGGGATTTCTCCAGCCAGGACCTGGGAGCAGCCGGCAGGACCGCACGGAAGCCCCAGTCTGTCCAGGTCTGTCAGTCCCCGCCCGGGGCGAGGGCAGCCGCCTGTGCTTCCACGGAGAGAGGCGCTTCTCCGCGCAGAGCAACTTGGAATTCAAGCGATCAAGACTCCCACCTCAAACAGGTTCTGCCTCTCTGGCGTCACTGAGTGCAGACCTTAAGCAAACCCAATTCCTTGACTGGTAGCCGCAGTCTGCACCCAGACTTCAAGGGCCCCCGAGCTCCGCGGGGAAGAGAGGGCAGCCCCAGGGACTGAGCCAGGCCTGCTCCCGCTGCCCCCGGCCCGCCCCCGCCCTGCCAGGAGCCCTCGGTGCCGCAGAGCCCGGGCCGAGCCGGGCCTAAACGGCCGGGCAGGAACCGCCGGGCTCGGCCCAGCGCGCCCTCCCGCCACCGGGCCCCGCCGCCCGGCCCTGACGAGGGGACAGGGGGCTCGGGGGGCTCGGAGGACCCGCCCGGCCCGCGGTACCTCTCGGCATTGGGGATGACGACACCGCCCTCCTGCGAGTGGTTCCTGTTCAGCGCCATCTTGGCCCCGCCGGCCCGCCCCTGACCCGGTAACGGCAGTGACGTCACATCCAGCGCGGCCCCGCCCCCGGGCACGCGTTCCCGCCGGCCCCGCCCCCCGCCGAGGCGGAAGTGAGAGGGAGCGAGGCGGAAGCGAGGCGGCGCGCGGTGCTTTAATGGCCGCCGCTGCGGCGGGACGGGCCGCGCAACGCACCGCGGGCACCGGGGCCCTGCTCGCCCCTCTGGCTCGCTCTGCTCCGTGCAACCGCGCCCGTTCGCCGCCGCGGTTGCCTCGGTGGAAGTTGTCCGGGATTTGCCGCGCTCAGTAAAGTTTTTCTGGCGAACGGCTTTTGTGCTGAACAGCGTGGGAGCCGCCGGACGCGCGGAGTGGGCATCGCTGGTGTGAGGTTTGGACTCTGCCCCTGTGCACCATCCCTCAGGATAGCTCAGGGAACAGCCGACGTGCTGTGCCCGTCCTGGAGCTCAGCTGGTGGCGCTCGAGTCAGACTTTTCCCGGCTCATCCATTCACAGAGGCTTCTTCCCGTTGTCATGCCGCGTGGGGTTTTGTTTCTTTTATGTGTTTGCCGTTTGTGGACTTCCTGGTAGGTGCACGGCGTGTTGGCAGGATATTGGCACGAGCAGATGGCAGTGAGGAGTACCTGAGCGAGTTTTTGTCACAAGCTGTTACGGATCCTTTCGATGTGGTCTGTGATCCGACAAGAAATTACAGAGCAGGGTGTAAAAACCACGTTATTACAAAGAAATAAAAGTTCCTAAACCTATAGGGCGAAACACACAACCTCGTCCTTGAAATCCACATTGCAGGCAAAGGAAGGTCTCTCTCTTCAGTTGCACGGGTCTGCTTTGCTTTCTTCAGGCAGGGCAGCATTGTGTGTCTGCCCTAATGCCTGCTTGGGCCCGGCAGTCACAAACATCCCTGTTCTGCAGCCCAGGGTGACGGTGCTGTGAGCAGCAGAGCCCTGGCAGTGCTTTGATGAGGCTCACGTCTGCGCCAGCAGTCACAAACATCCCTGTTCTGAGCCCAGGGTGACAGTGCTGTGAGCAGCAGAGCCCTGGCAGTGCTTTGATGAGGCTCACGTCTGCCATGTCCTTGGGCTGAGCGTGGCAGTGTGGCAGGATGGTTTCTGCAGGGGTCCATGGTACAGTCCATGTCCTTGGGCTGAGCATGGCTGGCAGTGTGGCAGGATGGTTTCTGCAGGGGTCCGTGGTACAGCTGCTGGCACCGGTGACAAGGCTGCTGTTCCCTGCAGGACTGAGAGCCTGGTGCAGGGGGAGGGTGTGCCAGGCTGCACGGCACCAGGAACGTGGCTGGGGAGAGGATGGGAGTGCTGGAATGGCCCTGGTGGTGCTGAGAATGGCTGATGTGCGTGGACAGGTGGGAGTGGGAGTGAAGAGAGCCTTTGCTTTGCAGTGACAGCCCAGAGAAAGCCACAGGATGGACAGATGCTCCTGACAGTTCTGCTGAGGCTTGGAGAGCCCCATTGCAGCCCTGGCCCCCATGCAGCTCCCTCAGCCAACATCAAGTGTGACTGGAGTCCTCCTCTGCTGCTCATTTGCTGTTTTCCTCTTCCTCCCTCCCGTGCCAGCCTTTCCAACCCCCATCCCAAGCCCCTGCACTTCCCCTTGCTGGCAGTGCTGCCATGGCATTCCCATGTGTGTTTTAAGTGTGGCTGGCAACTCTCCTGGAGGGGACAGCCCCTGCCAGCCACGTGACATGCAGAGACAAGCTCAGGACATCTCTGGCCTTCCCCCCTCCCTGACACTTCTGACCTCGCTCAGGGACACCCAGAACACAGCTGACACACCAGCTAGACAGCCTTCAGTGAAGCTGTGCCTCTTCACTGTGCTCACAGGTCTTTACCTTCCCTCCCCATCCCCTCCAGGGAAAGGTAAAACAACAGCTCCTCAACAGGACACAAAAGCACATTGTTAAGAAGGTGTTAGAGCTTGGGAGAGGGAGGAAACAGCCTGGAGAAGAGGAATTTTCAAGTTCTTGGAGAAATGAGGGAGAGACTTAAAGGATAAAAAGCAGAGAAAGTGAGACAGGGAAAGAAAGGAAGGAAAAAAGCTATGGAGGTCTAAAAGGGAATGAGGACAAAAGCACAGGAGTGGAGGAGGACATGGGGCAGTAAGAGAGCAGAGGAACAGCACTGCTGCAGTAACAAATGCAGCCATTTGAGGAGAATGAGCAAGAGGTATCTCCTGTGCCCCCACCCCGGCCCAGTGCTTCTCATCCGTGGCTGTGTGCACTCCTCCAGGATCCCCACGGGGCCGTGCCCAGCAGAGCTGTCCCTGGGGAGGCCCCAGCAGGGACCCCTGTGGCACTGTGTCCCCGTGCTCTTGTGGGGAAGGGTTGGCTGCCATGCCTAGCAGAGCTGTCCCTGGGGAGGCCCAGCAGGGACCCCTGTGGCACTGTGTCCCCGTGCTCTTGTGGGGAAGGGTTGGCCAGGACCTGCTTGCTGCTGGTGGAGAGGGACCACTGCAGTGGGGGATGGCAGCAGGGGCATGGGGTGACCCCAGCAATGGGGCAAATGCACCCTCTGCAGCAGGAACACATTCCTTCCCCCTGGGTTTTGCTTCTTTTGGAAACTATATCCATTTTCCCCCAGTACTTTGATGCTTCTCAAACAGATGCTACAGGCCAAGAACTAATTCTGTCTCCTCCCACCAGTCACTTGCTCTGAACCACAAAACGTGCCAGTCTTCTCTCATCTACCCTATTCCAAGCTGCCATTTCCCCTTGGGAAGCCACAGCAAGAAAAGGGGATAAAATGCCAGGCCACCATGCCCTCAGACCAACCAGCTGCCTTTACACCCATGGAAGATCCAAGAGAAATCTCTGCTGACGTCTCTTGAAACATGCATGCATTGACTCCAGCATCTCTCCCAGAGTCTCTCCTTGCCATGTGTCCAAGTGATAAAAACAGGACTACAGCATGCCCCACACCTCCCCCCTCCAAAATCCATGCCCCTAGAAATCCTTCCCCCCCAACACTACTTCCCCCAGGCAAGATACACAGCTGAGACACAGAAACGAGGGAAAGGAAGCTGACGGACAGTCCACTGTGCAGGAACAAACCGAGCATGGGGACACTGTGGGAAGGATGGGGGCCATGCCCCTGTCCCTCCCGGCACACAGGGAGGCACACGCACGCCCACGCACTCACACTTGCATCCTGTCCCTCCACGGAGCACGTGCCACGTGCTGCAGGGACAGGCCCACGGCTCAGTCAAGGGGAGCAGGGGGGGGTGTCTAGCCAGAGTCACCAGGTGACTGTGGAGGGGTTACTCTTTCTTTCTTTCTTTCTTTCTTTCACAGGTTACTCTCGTGGTTTTCCTCTGTCTCCACAGTCATGGGGGGCAGCCCCCCGTTGTCATTCAGCCGTTTGGCCCTGTAGGTCTCATAGTGGATGTTGTGGGTCACTTCTTTTAGGTCCTGAAGGTGGGTCCTGCAGGGATAAAGTGGGTTGGGAAAGAGGACATGATAGCCAATATCAGCACAGTAAGGATTATTCTTCTGATGATAATTTTATTCCCCAAAATAAATGGAATATTTTTTCAGTCAGTCAAACTAATTATTGTTACCCCTCTTTCTGCATGGATAGCATGGGTGCCATCATACACAACTGAGAGCTAGAGTGTCAGCATTTGAGAGCACACAGGCAGGATGCAGGACATGGGCTAAAATTCCTGGCTGTGCTTGCCAGTGGCCTGCCCTTCTCTCACCTGTGCAGCTGGCCCAGCCACTGGCCACCCTGGTGTGTCACTGCAGACTGGGGCTTATCTGAAGCAGTGGTGAGGCAAGGAAGCATCAGGAGGTGTATCAGGTTCACTGCACAACACTGCTGTGAGCATCATCCCTGACCTCCACACACAGCCTGGGGGCTTGGATTGTTATAGGCTTTGGGAGGATCATTTGGGTAGGATGTTTTTTACTGAAAGACTTTGGAAAAGCACCTCTGCTGTAGAAGGTATTGCAAAACAAAAATGGGAAAGTAGGGTGATGTCAAAGCATTGTACCTGGCCAAATTTCTCAATAACACCATACCCACAAGTGGAATGAGCCACAGGGCTTTGGTTTTGAACTGTGTTTCTGTTATTTTCTTATTTTTTGTCATTTTTATAGGGAAGAGAGGTCACCCTGGATCTACAGCTCTCCTACAGAATTTGTGCTGAGGCAACTTCATGAAACAGAGTAGAAATCAGACAGGACAATGAAAGCTAATTGAATAGGAAGATTTTCACTTCCAACTCATATGTTCCAGCACATCCTTCAACCTGGAAGGAAACACAATCTAGGATGTGGTAGTGACCTCTTTATTACTGACCTGTTGTCAGCAGCAAATAAAAGATTTGCAACTACAATGGGATTTTTTAAAACTCCCTTAATGGGAGTTTTTGCAGCGTTGAGAGGGGTGGTAGCATCCTGCTTTTCTCCAGGCGTCCAGCTCACACATGAAAACTAGCACCTACCTGACACAGTGGTCATGTCACCAAGAGAGGCACTATAGTATCTACACTTTAACTCAATCCAACCCTACACCACATAAGCTTCCACTGCCTGAAATTTACTTCATTTCCCTTTTAGTAGGGGCTATTTCATTCTGACTGGATCTCAGGAAGACTCCTGGCTCATCCAGAGCAAACTGGTGCATGACCATGACCTTACCTGATGACAAAATCTCGAAGTAGGGCAAATTCACAGTGATTGAGGTTTTCCACTGAAAAGAAAGCAAGCAATTGTTACATTTGATTTTTTCAACAGCCCCTTTATGGTTACAGAGCATAGGAAAGTCACTGCCATGGGGGCAGGTTCCAAGTGCTTCAGAAAGGACAGGCAGTTGTCTGAACGCCACGCTGTTGAGCACTGAGGAGACACACTAAGAGATGCTGAGCAGTCACACATGAATTTTCATTTGAAAACCAAGGCAACCTCAGGAGCTTAGCTTCACACACCATGGTGTTCAGAGTGGCTCCGGCTTCTGCCAGGTGGTGACAGTGGCACCATATTGACCATGGCAGTTTCTCCTGGCACAGCTATTTGAGAATTCTCCTTTTGCTTGGTTTCAAGCAGTTTGTCACAAATGGGATGGAAAGGTAGCCACAGGACATGCTATCTGGACCCTTGTCTGTTAATGTGATCTGCAGGCAATACTTCCAGCTCCCATAAGCAAGAGGTCTTTTACCTTCAATGATTCCCCAAGGTGTTTTCCTGCCCAGGACTCTCTTGCCATTCACTTGGTACTCCTTGTCACTGCCCACTACTGCAAAGGGCATGCTTTCCTGCTGGGGAGAGACACGTGGAAAGATCCATTGAACCCATTCCAGAGACCAGCACCACCATGGTTCCCCATCCACCTTTCCACCTCTTAGCTCAACAAACACAAGGCCTTCTCCAAGGGAAGAGATTCTCCAGAGCAAAACTTCACTGGCTGTCCTTTTCACCCCTCAGGGATAGCCCTAGAATTCTGGACTCTTGCTTTCCAGGTGTCCTTGCACCCCAACAAGCTGTGTGGGTAGCTTGCAGCAGTGCCAAGGGCTCCAGAGCTGGGACAGAGCTTTTCTGCAGCATTTCTGAGGAGGGGGATGAGCAGAGAAGTACCTCAGCATAATCAACAGAGGGTCTGTCAGCCCAGAGCTGCTCATATGGATAGTTTGAGGTGAATATTTATTGACAAATTTGTAGTTCTTTACAATAGAAAGAATGGACTCAAATAATCCTTCCCCATAAGCCACATGAACATTCATCAAGTTTAATGGCTGAAATTATACTGAGGAAAGCCAGAAATGGAGTAAGTGTGCAGCTTTCCAGGGAAGTAGGACAGTAGGTGAAGCTATTGTGGACCCAGTTATCTCTAAGCACAGGGAGAAACTATCTGTTTCCAGAGCACAGAGTGCAGGAGACTCTGCAATCCATAGGGTTGTGCAGCATAGGTTTACTCTGCTTTACAGATATCCCTGGAAAGAGACTGCAATTACCACAGGAATGGAGATTAAAGAGCAGTTTATTTCTTATGTGTGAGGGCAATAATACTGAAGTGCAGAACAAAATGTGGTGCCCTCTTCATCCACCCTTCTCCTCCCACAATAAAATGTTTCCTACCCTGATTTTGTCGTTCTCTGTTTTATCCTCCAAGTCCTCATCAAATTCTTTCTGGGGATAAAATTCGATCCCATTTACTTCTAGTTCCTTGCGCACCTAAGCAGAAAGACATTTTGGAGCACAAAGCTGCACAAACCTGAAGGAAAGGCAGTTAGCAAGGCCAGGCAAACACATCTGGGACACCCTTCCAGTGGGCAGAAGCTGGAGGGATTGTCCCAAGGAAGTGCACAGTAAAGTGAGGACACAAGGCAGCAATGAGTCTTTCTTCCCAACCTCAGTTACTTGTCTGGCTCTCCAGTTCCCATGACAGAACATATCACAAGATGTCACAAGGATACACACATTTCTCTCTTCTCTAACAGATGCCCTCAGAGATATAAACAGCTGCATCTTTAGGACTTAACCCAGCAACCCAGCACTGGACTCTGTGCACACCCTGGGGACTGCACTGCAATCCCAGGAAGAAGGATACCACTCATTTCTCCCACCTCCAAGCCAGGGCAGGGAAGGATCCCATCCAGAAGAGGAGATACTCACTCTTTGTTTGAATTCGGTCTTCTCCTCCAAGGTCATGGTGTCAGCCTTAGCAATAACTGGGATGATGTTCACTACCTTGCTGAGATGTTTCATGAACTCCAGGTCCAAAGGCCGCAAGCTGCAGCCCAAGAAGGAACAAGAGGGAACGGGTCACTTTTTACCCTCCTTGCCTTTCATCCTAATGACTGTCCAAGCACCAGGGCACCAGTGAACCCTCCCTTGTACACACCCTGCTTGCTGCCACCATGTTCTCATCTCCTTCTTCCCATCCATTCTGTCCTCTCCCAAAAAACACAGTGGCATTTCTCCCGCTCTTGTAAGCTTAGACCCTTTCAAGCCCCACAGCTCCCAAAGTTAAGCTAAACAGTGCCCAGTCCTGCTGGCAGGATCCCTGGATCCATGTCTGAGGTGCAGCAGTGTAGGGTATATATCTGGCACAGAGGTACCAAGGGCTGGGGGAAGGACAGAAGGGACTGTGTACATACGAGTGCCCCGTAGGGGAGATGAAGTAGAGGCAGCAGTGCACACGCGTGTCTGGAATTCGTTTCTTCCTTGCAATATTCACCTCCTCTTTCAAAAACTTTTCATATTGCTCGTTGATGTATTTCTCAATAGGCTCCCAGCTGTTGAAGTGGGAAAGAGAGATGAATAGACAGGTACAAATCTCCTCGTGTTCCTGCCTACAGTGTTCCCAGCTCTGACAGCAGCAAAGCAGTCTCAGGCATTAAAAATCCACCTGAAGCATCTCGCCATCAGCACAGCACATTGAGAGATCCTGTAACTGGCCACAGAAATAAGCATTCACCATGTAATATGTGCATATCCCCAATCACACACACAGACCCATGGTTTCAATCCCACAGCCCCATTATGAACTCCAATGAGTGCAATAGGATCCCAGATGCTTTCAAGGGCCAAGCAGATTACAGTCACTTATATACCATCCTAACTTCAGCCCTTTCTGGGACACAAGGCCTTGACCTTGTAAAACTCACCAGTTCTCATTGTTGATCTGGTCCCCAAATCCTGGTGTGTCAATCACTGTCAGCTTCATTTTGACACCACCTTCTTCAATGACTGGGGGAAAAATTGCAAATAATCATAATCCTCCCTGGAGACCTGCTCTGACATGAAACATGTCTTTGTGTCCCACAAGGGAACAACAGAGCTCTGCCCTCATCCCTGCCCAGCAAGCATAACCAGGCCAGCTTGTGTCATGCCTCAACAGTTATGACCCTCATTTCCATGTCTGACCCCAGATTTTGGTAATATCTACACAAAAGCCACTTTACACCAGTCTGTCACCAGAAAATGGATTTGTGCTTGGTCTGTGGCCCAAAGGCAGTACCTACCCTAACAGAACTTCTCCTGAATCTGAGATGATGCTCATTACCCTGCACCACTGTAGGAGTTGTGCTGATGCTTTGTGAGGAGGTGTGCACTACCAGGCTTGGGATGGGACCCAACAAAGCAACTTGTGTAGCTTATTAAATGTAATGCAGGTGAAATGACTTACAACAAGGCTTAATGCACAACTGCAGACTAATGTCTGCAGGTGATGAAGTCTCTCTATTTGGCAGTGGCATCAGGGGCCTTTCAGTTTAAGAAAAGCCTTGTCTGTCTCTGAGGCCATCTAAAACTGTCCTTTAGCTTCCTATGGAGAAAGGGCTGCCTAACACCAAAAGACTGCTGGGATCTTCTGCAGGACTATGCTGAGGCATCAGTATTGCCTCCACCCCAGCAGCCTGGCTCTTACCATGCCCAATGGCTTTGATCTCCACTGTCTTGGGGATCTTCTCCTCCCGGTTCCAGCCTGAAGATTTGCGGCTCACCTGGGATTTGAAGAGGGTGTTTACCAGCGTTGACTTTCCCAGTCCGCTCTGACCTGAGGATTGCAGAAAGGAAGCTTGTGACAATTCCCACAGCCTGGGAATGACAGCAGGCCCAAGGAACACAGCCAGCCTGGCAGGGGAAGGGGCTGGAGGTGTCTCCTTGCCTTGTGCAGGCTCTGTTTTCCCTCAGAGCAACTTCTGTCTGCTCCCTCATGCCCTCCCCGCAGGGCTTGCTCTCCCACCTGGCCTCAGTCCCTGGGACAGACCCTGGCCATGGCTCCCAGTCCCTCAGCTGGTCTCTGCCTACCTACGACCATGATGTTGAAGTCGAAACCTGTCTTCATGGTTTTCTTGCGCATCTGCTCAATTATGGTGTCAATACCGATGTAGCCCAGCAAGCTGGTGTTGATGCCCATGGGCTTCATTGGTACGACTGGCTTTTGTCGTGGCTCTGGGACCAGCTCAGACATGGCTGCTTCGTTTTTGCTCTCCACTGATCCTGCATGGGGACAGAGATTGAAAAATCATCACTGAGGTGTAACAACAGCCTCCTTGCTGACCTGTCACAGGGGCTGAGGGCAGCATTGAGCAGCCTTTTCAAGGGCTGTGGAGGATAACTGAATGTCAAGATTTTAGTCGTAACACTCATCATGGTGAGAAAGAAAGAAACATCTACTGAGTTTCCAGCACACTCTGCTATGTCCCACTCCAGATGAGGAGGTGAAGTGGGGATCATTGAGAATGCAGCGTATTGATGGCTCCCTCCAAACAGCAGGAGCAGGGGCAGCAAGGCTGGGCTGATAATCAGGTGCCCAAAGCTCCAGGTGTGTCTCCTTATTTTTGTCTCCTGGTTTTCAACAGGATCACCGGTGTTTTGCCTTTCCAAGTTCACCATAAAATTTGTGATGGAACAGACTTAAAAAAATTATGTGTCAAGTTCTGGCATTGAAACAGAGTTTGGGATGTACCATGAGGACTTGCATGCTTGGCCATTGCCACGGGTGGCTGCATTACTGACTGTGGTGCACAGGCTGAGCTCCTCAGATGAAGACAGTGGTGGAAGTGAAAGCATGGCCATAATCTCTGTGCTTGCATGCCACCCATAGACCAATGTTTTTTGTCATGCTCAGGAAACTAATCATTATGATCAGAAAATTAATTATCTGCATCTTTCCCTCCTCTTCTCTGCTTCCCTCCTCACTTCTTCCATGTAAAACAATCGGCTAAAAAGAAAACCCCGAGGGCTTTCCGCCTCCCTCACCCTTTTTTTGGTGATGGCACACATTGCTAGGGGCAGGCCTCACCCATTTATCTCTGTCTCATTAATGAGTAGCTCCCACCCGCTGGGAGGAAGCGGAGGTTGGGAGAGGACAGGGCATGGAAGAAAAGCTCTAATTGGTGGGGAAGGCAGGTGTGAGGGATGAATCTAGAAAGGAAGATGAAGGGGATAGGAATCAAATACCTTTCATATACAAGCCAGCTGCAAACTAGAGGTTCTCCCACTCTAATTACTTGACTCCCCCATGCTTTGTCTCATTAGAGGGTTATTTTTCCAGGACAGAGACAGAATGCATTTTTGCTTGGTAAGTACTTCATTTGTTTTGGATGCCACTTCAGTTCAAGTACCTCATACTAAATTATCCCTTTCCATCATTTTGGCAGAGTTCTTTTCTCCACTTATCAGAATCCACTGGCAGCAGAAAAGGACATGAACAGCTAGGCTGGCGACTGCCATTTGGTGGTGACACATGCCCCTCTTCACAAGGAAAATGATTCAGAAGTCACCGGACTGGTGACATTGATGGCACCAATCTGGGGCTCCTGTCACAGTTTAGTCAAGCCAGGCAGAGACAGACTGAGAAGAGGTCAGAGAGATTTTGTTCAAGGACAGGGTTAGGCTGGAGCAGGCTCCATGGCTGAATGGGGACCCTGCCTGACACTCCCACATAAAAGCTCCAGTGCTGACACAAGGGCTGCTCTACACAGTGAAGATTTTACATTTTATAAGCTATAATATCCCACTATCACGTGCTAAGGAAAGGCCTTGTGAAAGGGCCACCCTTGGCAGGGAGAAGGGTGCCTCCACCCAGCTCCTTTTTACTGCTTGGGAAGTCTTTTATATTAAACTGAGAGAAGTTTTCCCCTGTGTGAGATGATGGCAGCACAGCCACTCATGTACAGCACTGCGGCTGACATCTGAAGGCTCTTGTGTCACCTCTGTTCCACCTTGCCCACACAGGAGAGGTCAGTGGGAGGATATCCCCCCCCTGCTTTTCCCCACTGAGTGAAGGCACCCTGGACTATCATCACCCTCTCCTGAGGCAGCGAGCAGCACCCTGGGGGAACCAGAGCACAAGATGGACCATTGCTTGAGTCAGACTGGCAATTTGGAGCCCTTCATGCTGCCAGGCAGCTGCTGGAGGAGGCAGCCTGCCACACCAAGTGCTTCTCAGATGCAATCCTCTCTCACACCCATCACAACTAGTATGTGCCTTTCCTGCTGACGAAACACCCCTTGAGGCTCCCGTTGTCTTTTTTCAGATTTATCAAAGCTGATGTGAGCCAGGAAAGCCCATCTCTCTGCTACAGCTCAGGGGGCCAGGCCAGCCAGTTCTCCTGCACCCCAGCCTTCACTCGTGCTCTCCCAGGCTGCCCACATCACCTCTGTCATGGTTGTGTGGCTGTGCCGTGTCCCTTATGCTGCTGCAGCGTTCTCCATACACACCCCACACAGCCCTGCTGGGGTCCTACCTAGGCCTAAGACTGGGAGAAGAGAGAGAGAAATGGAATGATGAGGGAATTAGGGACAGGGGGCTGTGGCCCCAGTGAGGCACTTGGCTACTGGAGAAATGGGGGCAAATAAATCCCAAAGGTGGAAGGGAACAGGTCAAGATGGGAAGAAAGCCCAGCTGAGCAGCTGCATGGGATGGGTGCAGAACATGTGGGCTGTGACCCTTTCACTGCCTGGGGGGTAGCTTGTCCTCAGGGAATCTGTTGCCCTCTCCTTTATTCCTTCAACCCTTGTTCTTACACAGGGAGGAGGAAGGAGGGAATTTGCTGTCAGCCTCAAGGCTCACAAAGAGGTTCATAAGTCATCCCTCAATCTCACCAAGGAAAGCCTTGCCCAGAGCCAGTAGATGTTGCTAACTGCTGTGGACATCATAGTACAAGACCATTCCTTTGCAAGCTTCATTGCTGGAGCCTGGAGCTTGCAGTGACTAGGGCAGATATTTCAGATTCAGGTTCTAGGGCAGCTATAGAAAACCCTGAGACCAGGAGAAAGCCACCTGCTTTTCTCCTCTAGGTCACTTGCCTTCTTCTCTGTGTGGGGTTCCTTCCCATACAGCCTCAGCAGGGAAGCCCCCATTTTGCGAAATTTGCCCAGGGTTCATCTTTCTGCATGACTTTTCACTTTTTGCCTCCCACAGGTGAATTCAAGGAGCCAGCTGAGGAACAGCCTGCTGGGGTGTGCAAAACCAGGAGCAGACCCGTAAGAGGCACCCTGAGACATGAAACATGCCTGCCTGCTCTCCTGGGAGTGGCTCTGTTTTATGTGCACTACAGCTAATGGTGCTAGGAAGCCTCCTGAGCACGCTGAGTGGCTGGTCAGGGGGTGGCACTCTGTGTCCTGGGCACATCCCGCAGCCCTCGCAGCTGTCCCCTGTAATGAATGAGCAAGAGGGCACTACAGCCAGTACAGCTGATAATGAATAGAGGGCTAGCCAAGGTTAACCACTTGCATCTGCTGTTTGCAAGGCCCCCCTTTTCCCTGCTGCTTTGTTCTGTGTGCTAAGAGCAGCTCCTTTAAGAGGGCTGTAGCTGGTGATACCCCACAGCTGCCCAGATCCGGCAGGAGGTGGCCCTGGGCTGGGCACTTAGGGAATAATGTCTGGCTCACAGGAGATGCTCCATGTGACTGGACCAAGGGAAGGCACCGCTTTTGAGGCAGGGACAGGTAAAACCAGAATGAGTGCCCAGAGAGGTCCTCATGGTCCCAGCTAGCTCCTGCTTTTGACCCCCATTGACCCACCCCAGAGCCTCTTCCTGCAAGGCCAGCATATGTGGCCAGCAGCAGACACCACTACTGCTCTAGCACCCTCCATGCTCTGACATTCCCAGGACCTGTGTGGGGACAGAGGTGGCCCTGCAGGTCCCCTGGGGGCTCAGGTATGGGGACCAACATCTCCTATGTCCTGATAACCCAGATACAGTTGCATCCCCTCCCCCTGCCTTCCCATCCTTTGTCTGGCAAGAGGGAGGGAGAGCTGCAAACAGTGCTCACCACAAACCAGCTTCCAGCAAGGAAAAGCTATTTAACCCCCAGGTAACACATGGATGGCCTTGCTGTTGCTCTCCTCTGGTGTAGCACAAGGTTGTCCCTCTGCAGCTGGAGGCAGTGATCCTCACACACATCTCACCCCAGCCCCTTCCACCCATATGGTCCTGGACCCACAGTCCCACACCCTGTAGACCATGGAACAGGGAGGAGGGATGGGTTCAAAACCTAAAGGCGGCTGGCAGAAGCAGGCCCTCAAAGGGTGATGCCCGGTTCCTAGGAAAGAAAGCAAGCGGCTGCTTCAGCAGTACAGCCTCCCTGGAGCTCATGGACATCAGGACCTGCTCCTTGTTTCTGATCTGCAGAGGTGCTGGACTGAGCATCTCTCCACTGAAAAAATACCTTTCCCTCCTCAGCTCCCATGATGACCCCAGGGCATTTCTTTCAGCTGTGGTGGGCAATGGCTGAGCCCTGCCGGATGCACTGCCTGACATCAGAGTACAGAACAAAACCATTCTTCTTACCAGGTCTTTTTGCCTGGCTTGCAGATCATCCCAATCCTCTGGGCTGCCGCAGCCTTCCCGACAGCAGCCTTTCTTCCCCTCAGCACTCTGCAAAGGGCTTGGGCAAGAGCCCGGCTGCAGTGAAATCTAGGGCAGCGTGTGCCGAAGCCGCTCTGGAGATGCAGAAGCTGGAGGTGAAGGAGCTGGGTGCACCCCAGCGCAGCCACCACAGCCCCAGCCATGGCCTTGGTGCTGCTCTCCAGCCGTACAATCCTTGTCCCGTGTCCCAGTTCACCCCTGGGTGGCACAGCTGTGTCACAAGGCCAGAGGATGCTGAGCACCCCTGGACCATGGTACCACACCACCACAGCTGCCTGTGCCCTGCCCGCATGCCTGCTGGCTCCTGTGCAGATGCCCAGGGAGAGGCACAGGACACCCCCACTGCCTGTCACTGCCAAGGGACAAGCCAGGTGCTGAGGAGTTTGTGGGCACTCCCCAGCTGGATTATCCCTTCCTTTCAAAGCAGTGCTTGGCACTAGCTATTCCCCATCAGCACCACGACCAGCCCTGTTCCTTCTTCATACAAAGAAAAAAAACAGAGGAAAGACAAAGCCAGGACCGATTTCCCCTGCTGCCCTCCGGGGCTATCCCTCCCCCCTGCCCAGAGCTGGGCAGCGTGGGGGCACGGCAGAGGATGCCTGCACAAAAAGCCCCAGCGGTGTCCCTCTGGCGCTGCCCAGCCCTGCCAAGCCCGGAGCATCCTACCTTTGAACATGAAGCTTCCTTTGTCTCCGAATCCTCTCCCAAGGGGGTGGGTCTACCCCCACTTTTCCTGCCTGACGCTGATGAAGCAGCACGGTGGGCTACAAAGCTCCACTTGCTTTTACCTTTGTCTTTCTTCCCTGCGTCCTCTTCTCCCCCCTCTCTCCTTCCCTTCCTTCTCCAGTGGCTATTTCAGCAGAGCGGGGATGCTGGTGCTGCTCCTGCTGCCATCGTCATGTGACCTGAATATTAAACATCTCCGCAAAATCTCCCCCCGCGCACCTCCCCCGGCTCCATCCCAGGCCCCCGGCTCCATCCCAGGCCCCCGGCAGCCTCCCGGACTCGCGGGGGGAGCACGGCCTCGGGTTTGGAGGGGCCGCTGCCGATGGGGCCCCCATGTCCTGGAGGGGCCCTCACTGCACACCTACACCCCACAGGCCTTTTCTTGCCCTTTTCCCTCCCAATTCCCCTGCCTTTTCAGCATCTCCGCTTGTTCAGGGAGGGGCATGTTTAACCCTTCACTGCTTAGATCCGGCGGGGCTGAGAAAGGGTGCTCTTTGCCCCTAGGTATTTCGTAGGATCAGGTGATTGCAAAATCTCCTTCTGCTTTCCCAGAGGGAGGAAATTGTTTTGGTTCATCAAATGCGATTTGCCCTTGAGCTTTGCTGTGAAGGTGTGAGAAACCTTTTCTCCTCCAGCACCATGATTCCTGGCTGTCAGCCCAAGGTGCAGAGGCAGAGCCAGCGCTGGCCCCTCTGCGTGCGTGTGTACAAACATGTGTGTGCCTGTGTGGGGAGAGCAGGGACAGGTCCTCCCACCTGGACCAGGTTGGGGTACACAGGTCACATCCCCATGTGCTCTGGCAGGCACCTCCATGTGCCCTGTGGATGTGACTGTGCCTGGAGAGCCATGTGGATGCCTCTGGCTGCTCGTATCTTTGGATGGGGATGCCCTTTCCCTGCTTTGCATTTCCTTCTCCTGCATCTGTGAGCCCTGGCCGAAACAGGCACTGTGTCCCTGTCATGCTGTGCTGGGGCACCAACCAGCATCTGGGAATGCTCTGACCCTCCAGTCAGGGGCATGACAGGAGCACCTTGTGTTCCTCCACCACCAGACAACCCCCCTGGGTGGGGGCCAGGCTGTGGGATGCCTGGCAGACTTGGCAAGGGTTTGGGGCTCCTCCTTTTGCAGTGCTCTGGGACAAAAAGAAAACTGTACCCACTGCAGGTTACATGAACATGTGGAATTAATTGTCAGCAGTTACCCCGGGTAGGCTGAGCAGTGGACAGACTGGTTTCCGACAGACAGACAGACAGGCATTCCGGCACCCAGAAAATCTCCTGACATGGTGCCCACAACTGCTGGCTGCCAGGCTCCAAACACACGACTGTCCTCGCACCAGCTGCTGCCCACCCGTGATTCTGGTGTGGGTCAAGAGGAAATCACTCCAAGGGGAGGGAGCCCCCGTCCTCCCTCTCAGCACCCTACCTCTCCTGAAGGCTCCTGCCCCGTGCTGGGCTCCATGCCATCCCAAGTGACCCCTTGGTGCCTCCCTCCCTCTGCCCAGCCCAGCCCATCCCGTCAGCGGAGACCCACCGGAGCGTGGTGGGGAGCAGGACAGCCCCATCTTCGCCACCAGCGTGGCCTCGGCCCCGTCAGAGCTGCCGTGCCGCTGGGGCGCCTCGGCCGCCGCGGGCCGGGGCCGAGCGGGGAGCGGGGTGCCGGGGAGCGGGGTGCCGGGCTGCGGCCGGGGCCGCTGGGGCTGCCCGGGGCCGACAGGCAGCTGCGGGGAAGGGCGATCTCCTCCTCCATGGCTGTGGGCCGGCAGCAGAGGTGCGAGGGCAGGGCCGGCGGGGCCAGGCCGCGCTGGGGCCCAGGCTGTCCGGCTGTCAGCCTGCGCTGTCTCGGGGTGCGGGGCTCCCTGCGGCTGCTGTCAGCCACATGCTTGAGCCCCCACCTCCAGCCCTGCCCGGCCAGCCCGCCTCCAGCTGCGACAATGGGGCTCTTGTGGCTTGCACGGCTCGCTCCCACGCTGGGTGCCATGGCCACTGCTGCCCCTGGCCAGCACCGTCCCCACCTCTGCCACCAGCAGCCCCTCAGCATGGGCAGTTCCACAACATGGCCATGGCCCCGTGCCCTGCTCCATGGCAGGAGCCGCAGGAGTGATGCAGACCTGCCTGGTCAGGCCTGTGCTGCCTGCTTCCAAGGACACTGGGTGTGATTTAAAAAAAAAAAAAAACCTATTTGAATTTTTGAAATGCTTTCCCTTCCTCTCTTAGTTTTTTCCCCCTCAAATGGCATATTCCAGTGCAACAATTTATATCTCACCACGCAAGTTCAGTGATTACTTGTTGGGTGTTCATCCAAGTTGATGTTTCATTCCCTTATTCTGATTTTCTTTTGCTTCTTCATTATCATCATTATTATGACTGTTTCTTACTTTTGCCAGCTTTGTGGCATTTTCAGGATCGAGAGGGATTCAGCTTGCCACTTTACACCTTCCTCACTGTAAGAGACTTTGAAGGGCAACACAGTAAACAAGGAGGAAAGGAGAAAGGTGTTTTGGTGGGATGGGATGAGAGTATGAATGGTTTGGTGGGCAAGTGGGAGCAAAAAAAAGGAGAGACAGGCACCCACAGTACCTACAGTGTGGCAGGGACAATGCTTGCATGATCTCAGGTGACCAGGGCTGAGGGAAGTGGAGGAGGAATCACCATCCAATGACCCACATCAAGTCATTGAGAATGCTGGTAGAAGGCAGAGCTCAGGACAGTGTGAGTTCTCTGCTTCCTTAAGGGCAAAGAGACAGAAAACATAAAAAAAAAAAAAACTACAAAAAAACAACCAAAAAAAAAAAAAAACCCAAAAAAAAAACCAAAAAAACCAAAAAAAACCACAAAAAAACCCCAAACAAACAAAAAAAACCCAACAAACAACCTGATACTGTGTAGTATTTCCAGCAATAAGTACCTTCTCTGATTCTTTATACAGTTTAATTCAGTATCTGTGACTATTTCCTTCTCCCCTGAGGTCTTTCTGGCTGCACAGATCCCACAGAGGAGAAACACTCTCAGTTTTCAGGCAGCATTTACCTTTAATTATTCCCAGATAGCCTGGCAGGGTAGCTGGCACAGGAGCCAGGTGGATGGAGACCTACCCTGTTGTAAAGGAAACCTCACTGCTCCTTGCTGCCTGCCCAGTGCTAGAGGGAGGCAGCTCCCAGGGGGAACAACAGGAAAACAAAGCATCAGCCGTGCAGTTTGTCACACACTTCCACTGGGGAAGCCTTTGACACTGCTGACAGTAAAGTCCTTCATAGCCATGGAAAATACCTGGCTTAATTCTGATTGTGTCAGGACTGAGCAGCACAAAAAGTAAGCTAGAAGAGATGAACAATTTGTTTCTCGCTAATGCAGCCCTCACCTGGTTGCTGTCTTCTTTTGCTCAGTTTCTGTGTTGAGTCATGGGCAGAGTGGAGCTCAACACAGGCACGCAGCATGCAGAGGAGAACACAGAGCAGGGGAGAGGGCACCCCTGTGACTGCAGCCTTGAGTCATGGGCAGAGTGGAGCTCCACGCAGGCACGGCAACATGCAGAGGAGAACACAGAGCAGGGGAGAGGGCACCCCTGTGACTGCAGGCTCCCCTCCCTCCAGTTTAACTTCTTCCTGAATGCTCCAAGCCCCTCAGCTGCAGTGGAGAGGTTTTTATGCTACCCCACAGCTCAGCTGTGTTCGTTTACAGGGAAATCCCACCCATGAGGGAGTTGGGGTGAGGAAGCAGGTTTCTAAGCTGTGTTTGGAGCTATGGCTGTGATGTGCCAGAGGACAGGGAATGTGAGCCATGCAGCCGAGGGTGGCACATCATACCATGCCACCCAGCCTCTTGTCATTTCCATTTCACAGCCCCCAAGTCCTGAAAATGTATCTGTTTCAGACTACACCTGCTCTTTTGAGTCTTTGCTTGCCTGGCCAAGTATAACTTTGGGCACAGCAGTAATCCTATTCACTGTATGCAACCCAGCCCCTTGTCATTTCCATTTCACAGCCCCAAGTCCTGAAAATGTATCTGTTTCAGACTACACCTGCTCTTTTGAGTCTTTGCTTGCCTGGCCAAGTATAACTTTGGGCACAGCAGTAATCCTATTCACTGCATGTCCCTGCTGAGTGAGACTCCCCAGTTAGGGTACTTGCATCCCAGCCTCTGTTACTTGGCTGAATGAAAGGACTCTTGACTTGTCCTCTGTCTGAAACAGAGCCAGAAAGCTCCTGCTTGGGTGGCTGGTATTGGTGTGGAAAAGAACGGTGATGCAATTGCAGTCTGATGAAATGTCCCAGGAAGACCCAGGATATTTGCAGGATGTCCTGATCTATTCCTTAGAGCTAAAAGTTAACTTAGATCCCCAGAGAATTACCAACTTTCAGGGTACGCCTATGCTTTGAGCTTTTGCTTGCCAGGGCAAGCAAAACTTTGGGTGCTGGAGTAATCCCACTCACTGCATTTCCCTGCATAAATCACTCCCAGCAGCCCAATGAATGCTCCTTCTTTCTTTGGGAATGG